AAAAAAAAAAAAAAAAAAAAAGGAAAAAGGAAGTTTCAGGCACTTAAACCACCTCCCCCAACCCTACCTCACAGACAAATGCAGCCTGCTAGTTGAATTGAGTGAATATGTCTTTTATCATCCATGCCAGGACATGTTTATTTATCTGGGAATGACTTAATTTCCCCTTCAGTTTTACTGGATATAGAATTCTTAACTGACAATCTTACTTCAATGCTTTGAAAATGTCATCTCACTTCTTTCTGGACTTCATGATTTCTGATGAAAAATCAGCTGTTTATCCTATGAGGCTCCTTGCTGATTTGAAGATTGTGACTTTATATTTAAACAGTTTGAGTATTATGTGTCTAGGTATCATTCTCTTTGAGTTTACTTCACCTGGAATTTATTGTGTCTTTCAGATATGTATCTTTCAATATTTAAAAAACTTTTTAAATTGTTGTGGGTACTAGTAGCCACAAAATAGTATGTGTATATATTTATGGGGTGGTGTCTTTTGGATCTGTAGATTTGTATGTATGTGTTTGTGTATTTAAATCACATTTGGAAAGTTTTTAGCTATTATTTCTTCCAATAGTCTTCCTGTTCATTTATCTTGCTCCACTCCTGTTCTATTTACATTGGTATGCTGGAGGATGTCTCACAAGCCTCTGAGACTCTGTTCATTTTTTTTTTTTTATCCTATTCCTTAATCTCACTTGATCTAACCATAAGTTCACTGGTTCTTTTTCTTCCAGCTCAAATCTGTTGTTGTGCTCTTCTGGTATGTATGTATGTATGTATGTACGCACGTACGTATGTATGTATGTATGTACATATGTATGTATGTATGTACGTATGTATGTATTGAGACGGAGTTTCACTTTTATTGTGCAGGCTGGAGTGCAATGGCACGACCTCGGCTCACCACAACCTCTGCCTCCTGGGTTTAAGCACCTCCTGCCTCAGCCTCCCGGGTAGCTGGGATTACAGGCATGCGCCACCATGCCCAGCTAATTTTGTATATATATATATATTTTTATTTTAGTAGAGACAGGGTTTCTCCACATTGGTCACGCTGGCCTGGAACTCCTGACCTCAGGTGATCTGCCCACCTCAACTTCCCAAAGTGCTGGTATTACAGGTGTGAGCCACTGTGCCTGGTCTGATTATTCTGTATTTAAACTGCAAAAATTTTGTTGGTTATTTTATTTATTTATGATTTTATTATTACTGTTGTGGGAGATAGGGTCTTATTCTGTCACCTAGGCTGGAGTGCAGTGACGTGATCATAGCTCATTGTAGCCTCAACCTCTTGGGCTAAGCAATCCTCCCAGCTCAGCTTCCTGAGTAGCTGGGGCTACAGGTGCGCACCACCACACCCAGCTAATTTTTTCTAGTTTTTGTAGAGATGGGGGTCTCACTTATTATCCAGGGTGGTCTCAAACTCCTGTCCCCAGGTGATCTTCCTACCTCAGCCTCCTAAAGTGCTCGGATTACAGGCATGAACCACTGTGCCTGGCCTAGTTCTTTTAAATAAAAATTATATTTCTTTATTGATAGTCTCGATTTCTTTTTTTTTTTTTTTTTTTTTTTTTTTTTTAAGACGAGGTTTCATCATGTTGGTCAGGCTGGTCTTGAACTCCCGACCTCAGGTGATCCACCCGCCTTGACCTCCAAAGTGCTGGGATTACAGGCGTGAGCCACCACGCCTGGCCAATATTCTCTATTTCATGTGGTATTAGTCTCATACTTTATTTCTTTAGACATGGTTTATTTTAGTTCTTTGAATATGTACACAACAGTTGCTTGAAATCTTTGTCTAGTATACTTAACATTGGACTTTTCTGAAACAGTTTCTATTGACTACTTCTTTTTCTTTGTATGGGCCATACTTTATTCGATTTTTTTTTTAGCAATAGGGCCTTGCCCTATTACCCTGGCTGGAGTACAGTGGTGCAATCATAGCTCACTGTAACCTTGAACTCCTGGGCTCAAGCAGTCTTCCCACCTCAGCCTCTCAAGTAGCTGGGACTACAAGTGTGTACCACCACACCTGGCTCATTTAAAAAAAAATTTTTTTTTACAAACAGAATCTTGCTATGTTGCCCAGACTGGTCTCAAACTCCTGGCTGCACTCAGTCCTCCCATTTTGGTCGCCCAACCCGCTGGGATGATAGGCATGAATCACCATTCCTGGCCCATACTTTATTGTTTATTTGCATGTCTCATACTTCTTTTGGTTTAAATTGTACATTTAAAATAATATAAATGGGACAACTCTGAAAGCGGATCCACTTCCCATCCTTTGCTGTTGTTGATTATTGGTGGTGATGGTGCTTCTTTGTTTAGTGACTTTCTGGAAATCTGTAAAATATTTAGGCTGTGTCATGTGTGCCCACTGAAGTCTCTGCTCAGCTAGTTTAGAAGTCAGCTAATTGATTAGAGAGAGATTTCCTTAACTGTCCAGAAGCAAAAAGCTGCCTAGTCTTTCCTAAGAACAGAGGTTTGCAAGTTCAAACACATCATCAATGCTCAGGCAACCAGCCTTCGTCTCTGCCTTAGACTTCGTCTCTGCTTTCACAGAGCTGTAGGGTCAGCCAGAGGGTGAGCTTAGGAACTTCTTGGGACCCTCTGGGCTTGTGCACAGCCTTTTGCATATTTGTGAC